GATATATAAGAAGAAAGGAGGGGTAAGACAAGATAATACAAATGGAAGAAATGATTTACAGTAGAAGGGGTAGAGAGAGAAAAGGGTAGGGGAGGGGAGGGGAGGGGGGATAGTAGAGAATAGGACTGACAGCAGAATACATCAGAAACTAGAAAGGCAATATGTCAATTAATGGAAGGGTAACTGATGTGATACAGCAATCTGTATACGGGGTAAAGTTGGGAGTTCATAACCCGCTTGAATCAAACTGTGAAATATGATATATTAAGAACTGTGTAATGTTTTGAACGACCAACAATTAAAAAAAAAAAGGAAATTTGATAAAGGGTGAAGGGGTGGGCATGGGAAGGTATGTGGGGATGACATGAATATGGTCAAAGCCAAGAAGGTTTATGATGGCCTGGCAATTCTCAGTTGACACCGTCTCTTTTTTTTTTAAGAGAGAGAGAGAGAGAGAATTTTTTTTAATGTTTATTTTAGTTCTCGGCGGACACAACATCTTTGTTTGTATGTGGTGCTGAGGATCGAACCCAGGCCGCACGCATGCCAGGCAAGCGTGCTACCACTTGAGCCACATCCCCAGCCCCAGACACCGTCTCTTATTATCTGATTAATAGACAACACTGAGAAAGTACCCTGTGTTATAAGTTTCATATTTCCCTTACTCAATCTATTCTAAAAAATACATGTGCTAATGAGATAATTAACATTGCATAGGAAAAATTTTCATAAATGGGTAAATTTCAAGCAACTTTAAGATTGTGAGTGAGGGTCTGTAGATTTTCCAGAAATTTGGGAGTATCAAGCCTGGGAGAGAAAAACAGGCTTGGGGAGTGAAGGTATGAGGAAATTTCGCACAAGGCTTTCAGATTAAAGTTAAAGTCTCCTTGTCCTTCTTTTTGTCTTCTTTCCATCTATCTTTTTAATTTCTTCCTTCCTACCTGATCTTATTTTCCTGTCCACTTTCTGCTTCCTTCTAGGCCAAGTGAAGGCCCCAGAAGCTCAGAGTTCAGTAGAGCTTCTTCTTCTTTTTTTTTTTTTAAATATCTTATTTAGAAAAATAATCCAGTGTGAGATGGTGTCCTTAGCTGAATACTGAATATTTTCTTTCCAGTTCCTGAAGGGGCCCATTTGCTGGACAGACCAAGATTCACACATTTGCACTTTTCTAATCAGAGTAGGGAGCAAAAGAGACCAAGAGTCTGGTGGTGCCTGAAAACAGAGTCAGTCTCCTTTGGGAAGGAGAAACCAAATCAGTCCTGGAAAGGGTGGGCCTGTCTCCTGCAATGCCCCAGTTAGCAGCAGCTTCAGGCTGTCGCAGACTGCCTCTATGGCCTACTTCCTTTTGTAATTTGCACAATAGACCAGAAGATGGGGCTCTTGACCCTGGAGTCAAGGGCCAGAGGCTATGTTTTCATATTTGAACTGGAGGAAGGTCAGTTCCAACAGAGCTCATAAAAATCATCTCTACCTCCTCATTTCTCTTACTATACTGTCCACTTCTACTATGGCTGGAACCTATCTTCCAGGGGAATGGGAATATAGGCATATCTTCCTTTTGGACACCATCCTAGGCACCTCTTGAATTAGTATGTTGCCTGAGTCAGTCTAACTGGGCCCCTTGTCTCAGGTTTCTGCCTCTAATCCATTGTGCCCTCATGACAGATTTCAGCACTATTTTCATAGAACAGTATAGGACAGTATAGCATAGTGACCAAGAAATATAGAACTAGGCCCTCAATTCATTTCAATTAGGTGAGTCTTTCCTCATCTCAGAGAAGCTCTCCTTGATCATCTCCCATTCTGGGAGCCCTCTATCACATAATTGTCATTTACTTCTTAGTAGCTATCAAAAATTGTAATAATCTTGTTTGCTTACTTGTTTACTGTCTATCCACCTAGCAGGAGTACCCAAGGGGGCAAGAACCCTGTTTGTCTTTTTGTGGTTTCCCCACTACCTAACACAGGGCTGGATACATAAAGTCTCAATAAATGTATTCTGAATTAATAAATGAATGGTCAAATCCTAGCATAATGACTGCCTGAACTTGAGAAAGTTTCTTGACTTCACTAAGCCTTAGTTTTCTTAGAAGTGAAATGGAAAAATAATAAATACAATGACTATTGCAGGAATGTGTTTCCCTAAAACTTTCAGCAGAATTCTGCTCCATGTAAGAAAATAGTCTGAACTGCCAGCTCTCCAAAATTTAACTACAGGCCCCCCTCACCCGCTAACTTCATCCTTTTTTTCAAGGTGCTGAGGACTGAACCCAGGGCTATGTGAATGCTAGAAAAGCACTCTGCCACTGAGCCACACCCCAAATCCTAACCATAGCCTTTCTTTACTGCAAGTTTGACTTCCTATTGATTTTCTCTTTCTTTATATGTTGACTTTAGCTTACAACAATATCATAAGTTCTTTGATGTTAATGATTATTTATCTTATTCCTTTCTGTATATTCCACAGAGCTTTGAAGAATGCTGGATACATAGAAAGTAGTTAGCAAATATGCTGGGCACAGTGGACACCTGTAATCTCAGAGACTCAGGAGGAAGGGAGATAGCAAGTTACATACAGGGTTTGGCCCAAATCATGACTAACCTGAATGACCCATATACATTACTACTCTTTAAGGTTTTGCCCAAGACTTGAGATACTTGCCCTTCTTACCTTGGCTCAATTAAATCTTACCCATATTTTCAGACTTAGCTCAAACTCATGTCCTCTTCTGAAGAACTCCAGGTCAAAGAACATTTCTGAATTTTCATAATCTTTTAAGTTTTTGTAATCTTTGTTCCCCAAGCACATCTTTCCTTGGAAGGAAGGCTTCTTGGAAGAGATGGCTTTTTGACTTAACTTTGAAGGACAGTTATTCATATGGTTCTTATTCTATGTTCTATTTTCTTGTCATTATATTAACATGTCTTCTCTTAGATTGTTAAGCTACTTGGAAATATAGTTTAGATTTCTTTGTATCTTTAGTTCTATATCTACATAGTATACATTCAATATATTTTTTATTAGATTGAATTAAAAGGACATATATTTGCTAACTACTTTTTTCTCTTGGGGGGGAGGTTTACTGGGGATTGAACAGGGGGTTTCTTTACCACTGAGCTACATACCCAGTCTTTTTAAATTTTTATTTTGATACAGGGTCTCTCTAAATTGCAGAAGCTCCTGGAACTTGTTATTTCCCTTCCTCCTGAGTCTCTGGGATTACAGGTGTCCACTGTGCCCACCATATTTAATAACCACTTTCCATGTATCCAGCATTCTTCAAGGCTCTGTGGAATATACAGAAAGGAATAAGAAAAATAATCATTAATATAAAAAATCTTATGATATTGTAATAAGCTAAAGTCAACATATAAATAATGTACTTAAATAAACACTGCATGGTAACTGCTATGAGAAACATATGAAGTGAGGAGTCTGAAGAGGGAGAGATGACATCTGTTAAGGGTGTCAGGGACAATAGCATAAAGGAAGGTTTCTTGGAAGAAGTGGCCTTTGGGACTGACTTCGAAGGATGGTTAAGACTTTTTAATATTTATTTTTTAGTTTTAGGAAGATACAATATCTTCATTTTATTTTTATGTGGTGCTGAGGATCAAACCCAGTGGCTCACAAATGCTAGGCAAGCGCTTTAACCTCTGAGTCACAACCCCAGCCTGACAGTAAAGATTTTGATAGGCAAAAATGGGGGATGAAGATGGGATGTGAATTAAGATTCAAGGCATAGGCTTTATGCAGACATGGACAGAGAGTGCGGATATAGTCATTAAAACTCAGAAACAGGGCAAGGAGCTTATGCAGGGTTGAGAAATCTGTTGTTTTTTGGGGGGATGGTAAACCCCAAATTTGTTATCAATTTCAGAAAGGGATGGTATGCAAATGATGAACCTTAACATGTTCCCCAAGAGTAGCTTCTTTGGAGGCTGAGAATTATTTGCAATGATTTTTTTTCCTTAATAATGTGGACTCACCTACAGTCTGATAAGTGTGTATAAGACAAAAGGCCCCTTTCTTCATTTTAGGGATAGAGACTATATTGGATTTTAGCCAGCCTTTTCTTTTAAACTCAAATCAAACTGAATACATTCTTCATGATTTTCTAATCTCGTCATAGATATTAGTTCTGTTGTTAACTGATAATTTGCTTTAGATCATTTCCTGGAAAAGCTGAAGGGCTCTTTTTGTGAAACTGCTTCAACAATCATCCCTTAGCCCAACTCTGCTTTTTGAAGCAGACCTGAGGGGGAGAAGACCTAAGATGTAGAGAGCCTGTGGAGCGGGCCTGTTCACTGCCTACCTACTACTCTTTAACGCTTTTAATTTGGCCACTAGCTCAGGGATTAATGATTTTAGAAGGCTGCCTCCCATCATCCTCAATGACTTCCTCCTGTAATCCTGAGGTTCATTTTCTCAGAATTTAAAATCCAACTTTTAAAGAATATAATCAGAATAGACAAAACCGACACTTTCTCAGTTTTCAAGAGCCAGGTGCAGTTGCAAATAGAAGCAGAGATTTTCAATGTCTAGCAAGCAGTTGGAAGGACCTTCAAGCCCAGAGGCCCCTGAAGGGAGGGAGGCGGTTTCCACGGCAACCGCGCCCGGGAGCAGACGGCTCCTCCAGTTCCCTCCTCCTCCTCCTCCTGGTAGCCCAGGGTACCGCCGGACAGCGTCCTCCGGTGCTCTGAGCCCTGATTGGCTGCACTGGTCGCTCGCTGATTGGCTGCGGCGGCTGCCTCGCGGGCCGGTGGCTATGGAGGCGGAGGCGGTTGATGGTTGACCGTTGGCTCCAGGGTAGGGGTCGCCGCTCGTGTGATCAGCTCACACACGACCAGGGGGCGAGGGCTGCTGACGTTCTGCCTGGAACCCACTGGGAGGGCCCAATTCCGCTCCGCCATGCCGGCGGGGAGTAACGAGCCGGACGGCGTCCTGAGCTATCAGGTAGGGCCCCGCCTCCAGCCCCTCCCCGGGGCTGGGACTCAGCCTCCTCATCCTGTGCCCACCCTCCTTTCTTCTGCCCCCAAGCCCGGGCTCCCTGGGCCACTCCCTAAGGACGAGGGGAGGCCAGCTCGGGACAGCAGGGGGCGCTCCGGGCGATTGGGGATCACGCCGTGGCTGCTTGAGAGGATGACCTTGGGCCGAACCGGGAGCCGGCCCATCTCTGCTGCATCCCTTGCACAGCCGAGGAGCCCTGGCGGCTGGCGGGCGGTGACCTCTGTTCTCGGGTCTTCGGGGTGGGAGACGCCCCCTTCTGACCTCTCATTGTCCTGAGGAACATGGACGAAAGGGTATCTAGGGAGCTTGCTCTGGTCTTTGTATTTTTGTTTCTGGGTGCTTTTGGTTTCTCAGTGGCTCAGAGGAAGAGCATAGAAAAGCTGTGGAGGCTGAGAACTGTCCCTGTTAGTATGGCTGGCTTTGTGATTATCCCATCCCATTGCACAGACATTTGACAAGTTCTAGGTAGGGGAAGAACATGGGCTGAGGAAATGTTGAGGGTTCAGAAACAGGTACTTGTTAAAGGGAATGAGGAAATCAGGTTTAAGTAATTGATGACAACTGTGGGATGGCTCATGTAATGAAGCATTAGACTAGGTTTTGTGACCTTGTGTAAGTTACTTGCTTCCTTGAGCCTGTTTGATTTCTTAAAATGGAAATGGTGATACTTGCTTTGCTTACCTCATATATGGTTGTTTTTAGGATCAAATGAGGTGCATTTGTGAAGAGGCTTTGTGAAGTGTTTATAATGTGATATACAGTGAGTGGCAGCTTATTGAGTTCTCACTCCTCCTTTCCTGTGCAGTCAGATGGTATGGTTACTGTTCTGGAGAGAAGACTCCAAGGGGTGAGGGAAGTCAAGACAAGTGGAGGTCTGTGAAGACGATGATGACCATCTCAGGAAGGATAACAAGTGTTGGAGACAAGTGCCATCTTGATGTGACTCAGGGATAGTTTCTGAAAGGAGGAAAGGAAAACATTTCGAGTTTGTAGCAAAATGGATATCAGACACTAATTTCTTCCTTTCCTCCTGGTAATAGTTTGCTACTAGAAGATCCATAATTCATTCTTTGTTCAGTCAAAAAAGGAACAATATCTAGATTTTGAAAAATCTTTCCATATCTAATCCTTTAGAGGCCTGCTACATGTATTCAACCTCTGTTTGGGATACAATATTGAGCAAAAATAGGCAATGCTCTTGCCTACCTGGAGATTACCACTATCTGTTGGGAAGCAGGATGAAGTAACCTTTTCTCTTTCTCTCTGTGTGTGTGTGTGTGTGTGTGTGTGTGTGTGTTTATGGTAATGGGGATTGAACCCAGAACCTTGCACATGCTAGGCAAATGCTCTACCACTGATTTATGTTTCCAGCCCTTTATAATTTTATTTTGAGGCAGGGTCTCACCCAGTTGCCCAGACTGGCCTTGAACTTGTAATCCTCTTGCTTTAGCCCCCAACTTGCTAGGATAACAGATGTGCACTATGCCTGGCAGAAATCACCATTTTAAATCAAATAATCACTCAAATGATCATATTATTATAAACTTTGATAAAGGCTTTGGAAAAAAATATAGGCAGACCTATGAGTGTAAATAATGTTTCATTCTCAATCTGAGACTAGAGAAGTTTTGCTATGGAAGGAAATTTAGATAAAGATCTAAAGGATGGGTAAATATCATCTGAGGAAAGAGGGAGATCAAAGGGACTTGGAGACAAAGATAACAGCATATATGAAGTCCTGTGGCAGAAGGGGTATATACTAAAAGAAGCCTATTGTGGTTAGAACCACAAGCAGCAATGAGGGGAATGGTGTAAGATATATTTTGGGATTATAACCCCTGTTATAATCCCAAAATTATGAGGGGAAGGGGAAGGTTAGACAGGAGAGAGGCCTCAAGAGAGAAAAAAATGAGATCATGATCAGATTTTCCTATTGAAGATTTCTCTGGCTGCAGTGGGTAGAACAGGCTGGAATGAATGTTAGGAGACAGTGTCTTTAACATGCAGAATGTGCGCAGGTTGTATTTACAGCATAAAAGACCAGGTTTCTGTTAGTGTTCTGAGAAACTGATAATCCTAAGTGTTTCTGGGGTCGGGTAGGTAATAATTATCTCTTTTACAACAGTTTGTGAAACTTTCACAGGTGGTGGAATGAGCAGAGGAAATGGAAAAGAGTGGGAACATTAGGACCCCATAAAGACTGGAGTTAAGCATTAGGCAAATGGGAACATGAGATACAGTGAGGAAAAGAGAATGAGTGTAGTAGGAGGAAAGGAAGTGGGGTGACTTACGGGAGAAACAGTCAACCAATTGACAATTACCAGTTAAGCCTCCTGTGTGCTAACTAGGTTGTGTGCAAGGGATGGACCTGGCAAAGTGGGTACAAGTTTTATGACTTGTAAACAGAGAGGTTCCAGACATTACTTCTGTGTATCAGAACCTTGTGCTGTTACCTCTGATGTGAACTACTGCCCTAGCCTTCTACCAGTACCCTCTGTTTTCTTTCTTGTCCTTCTACAGTCCATTTTTCACATGCCAGTTAAGAGGGAACTTTAATTTCTTTTTCTTTTCTCAAGATATTGGGGATTGAACCCAGGACCTTGCACATACTAGGTAAATGCTATATCACTGAGCTATATCCCCAGAGGGAGTTTTTAAAAACAAATCACATCCTATCCTATCCTGAAACCCTTCAGTGGCTTCCTAGTGCATTTTAGAATAAAGTCCAAATCCTTTGTCATGGTTTACCAAACTTTATATGGTCAGGGTCTTACCCACCCTACGGGGACTTGCCTTTCTTCTACTCTCTCACCTTGCACACCCTGGCTTTCTTTCTGTTTTTTTTTTTTTTCCAATATGGATAGCTCCTTCAAACTTCAGGAGCTTTGTTGTTGTCATTCCTTCTGCCTAGGACACTCTTCTACCCAGGTTTCCTCATGACTTAGTTCACATCTCATTTCCTTGGAGTGGCTTTCCCTGACCTTCATCACTAGCCACTCTCCTTCATATGACCTCTCTTTCTCTCTCTCTCTCTCTCTCTCTCTCTCT